CGACTCCCCAACATCCCGTCCGCTCATTGGCTCCACGCACCCACCAGCCAATCCCAAGCAGTTTTACTGCCGCCCGCCCCGGAAGCGCAGACTACAATTCCCAGCATGCCCTGGGGTCGATAAATCGGGATTTATCCAAACCTCCTGATGTGGGAATTAATCCAGTTGTTCTGCAGGATTTGTGTTAGTACCTGCCCTTTATGTGCTTGTGTGTCATTTCTAGAGACTTGGGGAAGTTTGTAATTTGTGTGTCACCGTGACATTTGGCACTCTATCTAATTATAGAGTTGTAATAAAAGGAGAGTTATGCATCTTATGCCATGGATTGTTTTTATTTTGTCTGGGTATTTTGTTTTCTGGGTTAGTTTTCTAGTACTTTATAGTACTGCAATTCTGCTGCAAGGCAGGTTTTAAGATTTATGTTTAAGATCCTTAAAAACTTTCACTTGCCTTCTTTAAAACCCTAATTAACAGATATACAGTTCTCATTATATACTTTGATTATATACTTTGAATATAAGGCCAGATCAGACTTAAGGAGTAAAACCTGATAATGAAATGCATCTGGCAACCTACAAGATGGTTTAGATCCAATTAATGATCCAATAGTGAGGAAACCCCCTGACTGGGATAATTGAATCCAAATTGATGATCCAAAAGACATCAAGCCTGGTGTAATTTGCTTTCCTTGTTCTGCATTAGTGGATTATTTAATTTCTACTTGATACAGTGGAACTGGGGTTTTTCTTTCTTTATCTCCCTGTGTCTTTTAAAGAATTGGGATGACCCTGAATCCATGAGGAACTTGAATTTTGGACTGAAGCTTGGAATGAAGAAGGGCATTATCCTGTTGTAAGACTCCTCTATACATGTATAAATAATTTCCTAACCCTACCAGGGGAACACTTCGAGCCACTTTCTCTGCCTGACTGTATTCAGAACATGTGATTCATCCCAGGGGGAAGGAAACAAGGCACTTTGATAATCTGAGGATGCAAGAAAACAGATTTCCTGGCTTTTTTTCTGGGTGTTTTTTTTCCCCATATTCCTTCAAAGGAGAGAACTGCTACAATTTTTGGCAACTTCTTGCTAAAAGATGCTGAGGTTTATTCAGAAGACTTTGGAGATGAAACATGGGAAGAAACGAAGGTAAAATGAAATTCCTGTGGCTGTTTTGGATCTTTATTCCACGTTTTAAAGATCTCCTGTCTCTTCTGGTTGAGAAACTATTGGAGCATAAAAATGAAATTTTAATCCCAGGGTCCTGAAAAAGGAATTGAAAGTAAAGCAGACTGAGGAAGAGTAGGAGAGAGAGGGTTACAGGAGAAAATACTTTGAGCAGCAGTTTAAGAAAAAAAACTAGAGAGCAAAGAGGACTCTGGAAGGCACAGAACAGCCAGGAACACTATCAAGAGGGAAGAGCTTTAATTGTTATTTGAAAGAAGCTCACATTTTTTTCCACTTACATCACTTAAGGATTGTGGTATTCTGTTAACAGCTTGTGGAAATCTGCACCAATGGAACTGTATTAAGAAAGGATTTTTTTTTTAATGCAACATTAGATTTTGTGACCAGTTTCAGTTATTTTCAGTAGAGATACCATAACATAGTTGAATTCTCTATAGAAAAGGTTGGGGGGTAATTTACTTTTAAAATTAATTTTATTAACTTTTAATAATTTTTATTTAATCTTAACACTGCTAAAATGTATTAAAAACGCCTGTAACAAAGCACAAGGTTTTGGAACTGTTCCACAATTCCATGGATTAGTGTTAAATGTTAAATTAAGGCTCATTTTTGAGGAAATATCACCACAGTTTCAATAAAGGGTTCAGATTCAGCAGCATGTCTCACAACACACTTGAAACCAAGCAGGGGATAAGCTTTGCTAAGCTCCTGTAGCAACTGTGCACCTGTCAGAGTTTCAGAGCTTAGATCTGCCAGTGGAACATTCCTTGGGGTGTGTGACAGCAGCCTGTCCATCCAGAGATCTGCCCTTGGAAGTTTAAATGTTTTCAGATGAGGTTTTTTCCCTTTCAAAGTTCTGAAATGGACATACAGAGTGCCTGCATGCTGTCTTACATGTGATTTTTTTTTCTAATGGGGCAAGAGAAATTAATTGGAAACAATGAATGATGTGCCTGTTCTTCTGTCTGACCTGTCTTGGACCTCAACCTTGCAATTTTTTCAGTCACTTCCTTCATCCCTTCTCAGTTCCTTCTGCTCTTCTGCATTTCCTTCCTCCCCCAAGAACTAATGCTGCAAATTTAGCAAAAACTGAAGGCAAACTTGAGAGCCCAGGGCCCTGCATTTACCTCTAGACACTGGCTGAGGGAGTTCTGTGTGGTGAGGAGAGAGGGAGTAGGAGGATCCCTGGAAGCCCCAGCTCCAGCTGGGCCACTCTGTAGCCTGTGCAGTGACTGAGGTCAAATTCTTCTGCTTCTGAAAGCTGTAAAACAATTCCAGTTAAGAACTTTGAAAGCTCTGAGATACACTGCAACAACACCCACCCTATACCTTTTTTTTCCCCAAAAGAATTCCTGTAGATTTAGTTTTTATGTGGCCACAGTGATCCACAGTGATCAGGCTGCTGTTCAGGATTTACACACTGCACTCAGGGGTTTGTTAACTTTGGTGTATTTGATGCCAAAACATTTGATCCTAGGCCAGAAGAAGCTTCATTGGGTGAAAGGACCTTCACTGAGTGAAGGACTTTTGTTGGGTGAAGGCTGCTTTGACAAGTTTTAGGGTAATGAAGTAACATAAGTGGGTTTGCCCAGGAGAAAGCTGGATGTAGGTCATCCAGGTAAAGGTTGATCAGTGCCTTGGATAGAAGGACATTCCAAGGGCACCCACAGCCCTCCCTGGCCCTGCTTTGCCCACATGGCTGAGGCAGCTGGCAGAGTGCCCTGGGAGTGGAGACATTAGGAAGAATTTCTTCACAGGAAGGGTGATTAGACACTGGAATGGACTGTATAAATATCTGCAGGGAGGTGTCAGAGGATGGACCAGGCTCTGCTCGGTGGTGCAAAGCAACGGGACAAGAGTTAACAGGGAGAAAATGATGCCCAGGGAGTTTCACCTGAACATGAGGAAGAACCTCTGAACTGTGCACAGGAACAGGCTGCCCAGAGAGGGTGTGGAATCTCCCTCACTGGAGACATTCCAGAGGACACAATCCTGTGCCACGTGCTCTGGGATGAGCAGGGAGGTGGGACCAGATGACCCGCTGTGGTCCTTCCAACCTGGCCCATCCTGAGATTCTGTGATTCTGTAACGAAGTAAAACAACTGTGTTTGTCCAGGAGAAAGCTGGATGCAGGTCAGCAGGTAAAGGTCGGTCAGTGCCTTGACTCATTACCTGGAAGAACATTCCACGGGGCACTCACAGCCCTCCCTGGCTCTATTTCGTCAACACCTTTCGTAGGTCACCACCAGCTCTGCCTGAGGCAGCTGGCAGAGAGCCCTGGGAGTGGAGACATTAGGAAGAATTTCTTCACAGAAAGGGTGATTAGACACTGAAATGGACTGTACAAATATCTAAAGATTGGTGTCAGAGCACGGACCAGGCTCTGCTCTGTGGTGCTGAGCAATAAAACAAGACTCAGTGAGCAGAGACTGATGCCCAGGGAGTTCCACCTGAACACAGGGAAGAACCTCTGAACTGTGCACTGGAATTGATTGCCCAGAGACCGTGTGGAGTCTCCCTCACCGGAGATATTCCGAAGGACAACAACCCTATGCCGTGCGGCCAGGGATGGGCACGAGGATGGGATCAAGTGGTCCCTTCCAACCTGCCCCATCCTGTGACTCAGTGATCCTGTGAGCGCCCAGGCAGGTTTGCGCTCACCATCCCTGGAGGTGCCCAAGGAACGCCCGGACGTGGCACGCAGTGACAGGAGTGCCAGGGAGCGTCACTCGCCCGCAGGTCGGACCTGCGATGACCTCAGCGGCCGTTCCCA